TTAGAGAATGGATATAGACTAGAGAACAATTGTTCGAACTAAAACCTAGGAGGGAACTTAACTTAGATTGCCGGATTAAAGGAACTTGGAGTGTTGAATCGCATAACTATGGAAACAGATCGAACATGGCTCCTGTCATTTGACCATTCACTTGATCGTTAGCGATGCTAGTAGCTTGGTTTTGTCTTTATATCGTATTTGCTATCATCACTCTATTTCTTTTTAATTTGGCAATATAAGTTTTCTCCACAAAACATAGAGTTTAGGTGAGGAGTTAGATTTTAGGTGAGGAATTAAGGTGCTTACTGATGGATTGAGATAATAGGAAGGAGACATGAATAATCGACTTGTTCTTAATAGAATCTCCTTTCGATGTGTGTGCCTCTATTTTTTTTTCTTGGTCCTGTTCTTGTCTGTTTTCTAATTTAGAAACCGAGACACATTGGTCAGAAGATTACAGAGGTTTGATGTTTCCTCGGCGGCGATCAATTTGGATTCCGGTCGATGCTTCTCCAATCCGACCACTGCAACTGGACTGATCAGATCTTCTCAAAATTGGGTTTCGACAATTCTCCATGGGCCTTTATAATTGGGCTTCAACTTAGTGTTTCAATTGTTTTTATTGTGTGTTTTGTAATTTAGTAAATTGGGCCCTACATAGCTTTGTAAAACTTTGCATTAGAAAAATCAGTGGTTTCAAATAAATGGATTTTTTTTGTTTGTGCTAACATGTATTATTTTCAAAAAAAAAAAAAAACATTTAAATGGCGGCTAAATCGGATCATCTCTCATTAAATCGAATGAAAATAATTAGTTAGAAAGAAATCAATAAACACAGTCCTCGACTCACCAATATAATTTCAGCACCCGACGATTCACGTGAAACCAACAATGCCGGTCAAACATTGACTAGTAGATAAAAGAGTTTTGGTCGTTATCACGCGGTGGTTGATATTTTCTCTGATTTTAATGTTTTTAGTATTAACTTTATTCCAAAAAATCTTCAACCAATAGAAACATACGATATCAAGTTTTTGTTGGTTTGTTTTACACTAATCAACTTAACTTTGAAATAACCCTCTAACAAAGAGTATTCAAGACTGGTGGCTTCACCATTATGGTTATTTATTGTGTATGTTTTCGTTGTATAAATACACTTCACTGTTATGTGTCTTTATTTTCACCATTAGTAAATTCGAGATTATTGTAAGAGAAAAAACAGAGGATTAAACTAATGACAGGAATCAAAGTTTTTGGTCACCCTGCTTCTACAGCTACGAGAAGAGTTCTCATCGCTCTACACGAGAAAGATCTCGACTTTGAGCTTGTTCATATCGAGCTCAAAGATGGTGAACACAAGAAACAGCCTTTCCTCTCCCGCAACGTAAGTATATAACCATTTCAAGATTAAAAGAATGTTTCACTTAGATAACTGATTGGTCTGAATAATGTCTTTGCAGCCTTTTGGTAAAATTCCAGCCTTTGAAGATGGAGACTTCAAGCTTGTCGGTAAACAACCAAAACACTTATAGATTTAAGCCTAACCATGCAGTGTGTTTGTTTGGTTCGGTTCGGTTTTTGATCATTGTAGTTTCTCCTTTCTTTGCAGAATCAAGAGCGATTACTCAATACATAGCTCATGAATACGCAGAAAAAGGAAACCAACTTCTCTCACTTGGCTCAAAGAGCATGGCAATTTTGGCCATGGGACTGGAAATAGAAGCACATGAGTTTGACCCTGTTGCTTCAAAGCTTGGTTGGGAACAAACCTTCAAGAACTTCTTTGGTTTGACCACCGACCAAACCGTTGTCGAAGAAGAAGAGGTTAAGTTAGCCAAAGTGCTTGATAACTACGAAGCTAGGCTCGGCCAGTCTAAGTATTTGGCTTGTGATCACTTCACTTTGGTCGACCTTCACCATATCCCTGTGATTCAGTACTTGCTTGGTACTCCAACTAAGAAGCTCTTTGATGAACGTCCACGTGTCAGTGCCTGGGTTGCTGACATCACTTCTAGGCCTTCTTCTCAAAAGGTCCACCTTTAAGTGGACTTTTAAATCAACCACAAGATTGAATAAAAGTGGTGATGACTTCATTGCCTAAATTCTCATAAACTCTGTTTTTCCTCTTTTGTGTGTGTGTTTCCTCTGTTTTTTTTTTCCTTTTTGTGTGTACTCTGTTTTTTGCTTTTATTGAGAGATTGATTTGGATGTAATCTTCGAGTATGAGCAAGATCTATGAAAATATTATGTTTTAGTTAGTATATCTGTGTAACATTTTAGCACGAATTAAGATAACCCCAAGAGTAATTGTGTTTGGATATTGGTCCCAAATCCGTTCGAGTCACAAGCCTCTTCTTACTATAACAAATTTACCGGTTAGAACCTCTTTGAGAGATTATATAATCTGACTAGAAGATAATTCGGCGTCACTTGAGGCTCCATGTGAACCAATAGAAGTATAGAACCCGTCATGGTCATTGATATTTTTCTCCAATTCAAATGTTTAGAGTAACTCTGTTTCCTCTGTTTTTTGGGCGTAGTTAGCACTAAATAAAAGTTCGTAAACAGTGATGTAATAAAAAGAAGATATATATTAATTTCCGAAAATAATTTAGGAAAGCTTTTAGGAAGGCATTTAACTAATTTATGAAGGTCTTCCTAAATACGAAGGAAGAACTTCCTTAGAAACAAATTTAAGAAATATCTCAATAATTTAGGAATGTCTTTCTAAATATAAAAGAAATCTTCCTAAAAAACAAATTTAGAAAGGTCTTCAATATATAGAAAACTTTCTTAAAAGACAAATTTAGGAATGTTTTTGACTAATTTAGAAAGACTTTTAACTAATTTAGGAAGGTCTTCCTAAATATGAAGTAAACTTTAAAAAAAAGTAAATTTAGAAAAGATTCTCACTAATTTAGGGAGGCCTTCCAAAATATGAANTAAACCTTCGTAAAAAATAAATTTAGGAAGGTTTTTGACTAATTTTGGAAGGCTTTTAGAAAGACTTTTTAACTAATTTAGAAAGGTCTTCCTAAATATGAAGTAAACTTTCCTAAAAAGTAAATTTAGGAAGGATTCTCACTAATTTAGGGAGGCCTTCCAAAGTATGAATTAAACTTTCCTAAAAACCAAATTTAGGAAGGATTCTCATTTATTTAGGAAAGTCTTCCTAAATATGAATCTTTATATGAAAATCTTTAAAAACTTTTGTGTTTTGCATTTTACTTTGCAGCCTTTTGGTAAAATTCTAGCCTTAGAGGATGGAGACCTCAAGCTCTTTGGTAAATAACAAACACTTTCATGTTGGTTGCCTAAAACATCACTCAACTAAACAAAACAGAACCACTCACAAATGAATTTTGATTTTTGTGTATCCTTTTGTTTTGACAGAATCAAGAGTAATTACTCAATACATAGCTCATGCATACGCAGACAAAGGAAACCAACTTCTCTCGTTTGGCACCAAAAACATGGCAGTCATGGCCATGGGAATAGAAATAGAAGCTCATGAGTTTGAACCAGTTGCTTCAAAGCTTGGTTGGGAGAAAATCTACAAGCTTTTTACTTGGATTGACCATAGACCAAGCCATTGTTGAAAAAGAAGAGGTCAAGTTAGCCAAAGTTTTTGATAACTACGAAGTTAGTACTTGGCTTGTGATCACTTTACTTTGGTTGATCTTCACCATATCCCTGTGAATCAGTACTTGCTTAGTACTCCTACTACAAAGAAGCTCTTTGATGAACGCCCACGTGTCAGTTCTTGGGTTTCTGACATCAGTTCTAGACCTTCTTCTCTGAAGATCCTCCTGCTTTAAGTGGACTCTGTTTTCTCTTTGAGTGTGTTTCCTCTGTTTTATGGGTGTAATCAGCACTAAATAAAAGTTCATGGACAGTTATGTAATAAAAAGAAGATATATATTAATTTCCGAAAATAAAAAAAGGAAGCGTTTTAAGATAAAAGTTTTGTTTTTTTTTTGGAATCGGAGAAGATAATTGAATGGCTGTGGCTACAGCTCCGTCGTTAAACCGCCATTTCCTCCGCCGTGTCTCGAACCCTTACTCGAGAGTGAAGAAACGACAACTATGGCTACTTCCAGGAGACGCGACCCTTTTCGATTCTCGCCGGAATTTGAATTCCCATCTCCTTGTTTTCGCTTCCTCTTCTCCGTCTCCGTCGTCTTCTCCACCGTCTCCAGATTCTCCGACGGAGGATCTCACGGCGGAATCGTGCGTTAATACTGGTCTCGATCTCTTCAAAAGAGGACGGGTTAGTTCTACAATTCGAATTCTGATGAAAATTTGTTTCAGTCGATTTTAGGCGAATTTCTCTATTGAGCTTGTATGATTCTGTAGAATTGTTAAGCCCTAATTCAATGAAATTTAGTTACTTTCACTAGTTGAATGCTACTGAATATAAGCAAATTGAAACTGCACTGATTTGTTTTGTTGGATTCTTTTAGGTTAAAGATGCTCTTGTTCAGTTTGAAACTGCACTGAGTTTGGATCCAAATCCTATTGAGTCACAAGCTGCTTACTATAACAAAGCATGTTGTCATGCTTACCGGTAAGAATGTCGAACTATATACCGATGAATCTGCGAAGAATCACGGATTTTGAAGATCCTGATGAGATCATTGTTCTCTCTTTTGTTTCAATCCTCTATTATTTATCGTCTCGAGGTAGGGGTGAAGGGAAAAAAGCTGCTGATTGTTTGAGAATTGCTTTGAGAGATTATAATCTGAAGTTTGCCACGATTCTTAACGATCCCGACTTAGCATCCTTTCGCGCATTACCCGAGTTTAAGGAGTTGCAAGAAGAGGTCTTGTACTTCTCTCTTTTTTTTCTTATGTTTTGTTCTTACCCCCAAGAAGAACTTTCTCATTGGCAAAACTTGTTTCAATTTTGTGCAGGCTAGGTTAGGTGGGGAGGATATTGGCGATAGTTTCCGAAGAGATCTGAAACTCATCAGCGAAGTACGAGCACCGTTTCGTGGCTTTAGAAAGTTCTTTTATTTTGCATTCGCAGCAGCAGCAGGTATCTCGACGTTCTTTACAGTGCCAAGACTGATTCAGGCAATCAGAGGCGGTGATGGTGCTCCTGATCTTCCGGAAACTACAGGAAATGCTGCAATTAACATTGGAGGTGAATCGTAGACACAATTTGAATCTAAAATTCCATTTTTCCGCCCTTTTTATGTGACTAAGCTTTTGGAACAGCAATGTACAGGTATTGTTGTTCTGGTTTCATTGTTCCTTTGGGAAAACAAGAAAGAAGAAGAACAAATGGTTCAGATAACTCGAGACGAAACTCTTTCTCGGTTACCACTACGCCTCTCAACCAACCGTGTTGTTGAACTTGTGCAGCTAAGGGATACAGTTCGACCCGTGAGTCTTTTAATCCACTTCTTACTGCCTTGAGTATTTATTGGCCTTTGAGTCTCTGAATCGGTTAAGTGAATCAGTGATTGACATTGTTGTTAGGTTATTCTAGCTGGAAAAAAAGAGACTGTTACACTTGCAATGCAAAAAGCAGATAGATTCAGAACCGAGCTCCTAAGACGAGGTGTTCTCTTAGTTCCTGTGGTATGGGGTGAACGTAAAACACCTGAAGTCGAGAAGAAAAAGGGTTTTGGAGCTTCTTCAAAGGCAGCTGCATCTCTTCCTTCAATTGGGGTAACGAAAAGATTCTATCTTGGAATGAAAGGAAATATTCATCTTCATTCTCATTTTGCCAAGCAGTGATTTTTCTTTACTTGGTAGGAAGATTTCGACACACGGGCTCAATCGGTAGTTGCCAAATCGAAACTGAAAGGTGAGATCAGATTCAAGGCCGAGACTGTGTCGCCTAGTGAATGGGAAAGGTCGACAACTTTCATCTCCCTTTTTGCTGATCAAAATTTGATAGAACAAAAATGGGAACTTTGTTTTCAAGTCTTGAAGATGTCTCTGGTTTTGTTTGTTTCAGGTGGATAAAAGATCAACAGATATCTACAGGAGTCGACCCTGGCGATGATGTGTACATCATACTGCGGTTAGATGGTCGAGTCCGCAGATCTGGTAAAGTAAGTTTCATCTAGAACCGTTTCCTCTTCTGGTTGCAAAAATTGGTCCTATGTTTCGGTTTTTGAAGCGGTTTTGTGCATCTGAGATGTAAGGGGATATAACTCTGTTTTCAGGGGATGCCGGATTGGGCTGAGATCGCAAAGGAGTTGCCGCCGATGGATGACGTTCTCAGCAAGTTAGAGAGATGAAGCTTTCTTACATATTGTATCTTCATAAATCTTTAGAAGAGACTAGAGAGACATCAAAAGAGAAGAAAAGCTCTGTATTGTTTGTTCGTGTGCACAAAGTCCATGAGGTTGATTCTATATGTGAAAACATTTTCAAAAGAAAATTGTTTTGTATTAATTTCGGTTAACTTCTCACGTTTTTTTTCTTCTTTGTCAACAATATGCTATATACGAGTTTGATGAATCCGAGTGGTAAATATTATATGAAGGTCGGTAAAAATATGTAACGCGTTCTGATTCGGTGACAAATAAATTGGGACTTTTTTTCAAGTATTGTATAGTATTTAAAACATGGTTTATTAGAAACTGGTAGTCTAATAATTCTCGATTAGGTTCTCTTTTAATTTAAAGAAGGGGTAGGTTTTATTTTATTTTATTTTGTTTCGTTGGGATAACGATGGCCCAACTCGTTTCATGGTCGTTGACTCGTCGGGCAGAGAAAACGAAGCATGGCTTTTTTTTTTTTTTTTGATCAAAAGCTTTTCGTTGTTTCAAAATACGTATTTTATTTAGAAAGCGAACCATGATAATATCTTTATATATTTTTGAAATTCAGTAGTTCAATAGTTGGTACTAATGGGGATTCTTCGTGAGTAAATACTGTAATTTACAATATAACTAACTAGAATAGGACCCGTGTTAATACGCGGGTAAATACTATAAAAACTAATAAAA